AACATAAGAAAATGGATGAAAAATAATTTAAGGAGTATGGTAATTTCACAAAGATGAAAAACTGCCATTACAGAGAAGCCAGTGAGCAAGAGAATAGTGAGGTAAGATCTTCCACATGACACTGTCCATCATCATGGTAACAATAAGTTTTATACCTATCACACCTGTGACTCTGGAGCAAGGTAATCCTACCTCCTTATTTTGCCAGGATGATCCGGAATGTCTCACCTTCCTGTCCAGGAATTTCTGACTCCTTCCAGGAGTGGAGGATTTCTGGCTCACTTTTATTTAAAGTTGAGTTCCAAATTCTATCCCTCCCTCTCTCTCTCCCTCATTCCTGAGGTGGTAAGCAATCAGGTATAGGTAATATGCAATTACGTATAACATTTCCATTTTAGTCGTTTTGTACAAGACTCAAATTAAAAAAAATAAAGAAAGTGAAAAATAGTATGCTTCAGTCTGTATTCAAATGTATTAGTTCTTTCTATGGAGGAGGATAGTACGCTTCATCGTTAGTCCTTTGGGGTTGTCTTGGATCATTGTTTTGCTGAGAATAGCTAAGTCAAAGAGTAAAGACAATTCTTAATATTAATTTTTTAAGAAATTTTTGAATTCCAAATTCTCTCCATTCTTCCCCCCCCCATTGAGAAGACAAGCAATTAGATATAGGTTATACATGTGCAGTCATGCAAAACTTATTTCCATGTTAGTCATGTGAAAGAAAACATAGATTAAAAAAAATAAAGAAAGTAAAGAAAAAGTATGCTTCAGTTACATTCAGACTCCATCAAATCCTGCTCTAGAGATGGATAGGATTTTTCAGCATAAGTCCTTCAGAATTGTCTTGGATCATTGTATTGCTGAGAACAGCTAAGTCATTCACAGTTGATCATCATACAAAAAACTATTACTGTATACAGTGTCCTCCTGGTTCTGTTTATTTCACTTTGCATCAGTTTTTTAAAGTCTTTTCAAGTTTTTCTGACAGCATCCTGCTCATTATTTCTTATAGCACAATAGTATTCCATCACAATCATATACAACAACTTGAGCCATTCACCAATTGGTGGGTATCCCCTCAATTTCCAAGTCTTTGCCATTTCATAAAGAGCTGCTATACATATTTTTGTATAGATAGGTCCTTTCCTTTTTTTTTTTTTTTAATCTCCTGTTACAGACCTAGTAGTGGTATTGCTTGGTCAAAGGGTATGCATGGTTGTGATGCAACAAAAGTTTGAGAATCGTAGTCTCTGGGTAGTTAATCAACTTATTAATTATTGCTAGTGGATAATTAATAAAAGGGTCATTTGGATGTCTCTGCTAAAGCAAAGACCTCTCATGGAACTGATTCAATGCTTATATGCCCTTGGAACAGAGGATGTTCCTGAAGGTAGAAATCAACTGCGATTGGTTAACAAGTAATGAGAGAGTGAATATTATAATGAAAGGTGGACTTATTCTAATGTGGGTCTAGGGAATGTGACTGATCACTCAGCCTTGGTCAAAGAGACATCTAAAACCATACTACCCTGTTTAGGGTAATCTAAACAAAAGCAGAATCCACTTTTACCCAGACCTGTCTGACTAAAACACAATGTTCCAGAATCCACCAATTCCCCTTAAGTATAATTTCTTTACTTTTTGATCAGACCTGAACTTTCTCTGTTTTGCCTCATCTCATTATCAGTCCCAGACTTCAAAGCCTATCTAATTAAATAGCCTATAGGGGTTCATTTATGAATGAGGAAATAAAAGGGGAAAAATCCTGGATCTCTCTAATAGTAAATGGTTATTAATACGAGAGAAACAATCCTTTCTTTCAATGGTTTGGTAGCCCTTTGGGCATAGTTCCAATTGCTCTCCAGAATGGTTGAATCAGTATACAACTTTGCCAACATGGCATTAGTGTTTCAATTTTCTACATACCCTCCAACATTAATCATTTTCTTTTTCTGTCATATTAGCCAATCTAATTGGAGTGGAGTGGTAGATTAGAGTTATTCTTAATTTGCATTTCTCTAATCAATAGTGATGAAGGTAATTTTTATAAGACTATAGATAGCTTTGATTATTTTGTCTGAAAACTGCCTATTCATATCCTTTGACCATTTATTAAGTGAGGAATGGCTCTTATTTCTATAAATTTGACTCAGTTCTCTCTATGTTTAAAAATTGTTTTGAAGTTATTAAGCATTTTAATTTTCCCTAGTTACATGGAAAAAAATGTTCACATTCATTTTTTGAAACTTTGAGTTCCAAATTCTCTCCCTTCCTCTCTCCCCATCCTCTTCATTGAGATGGCAAGTAATTTGATATAGATTATACATGTGTAGTCGTGTAAAATATTTCCATGTTTGTTATGTTGCAAAAGAAAACATAGACAAAAACAACGTATCTCAAGAAAAATAAAGTAAAAAAGTATGCTTCAATCTCTAGTCAGACGCCATCAGTTCTTTCTCTGGGGATGGAATAGCATTTTCGATCTTTGACTTGAAGCTACTTAGAATTGGTAACAGATGGCATCTGGAACAACAAAGGAAACCCTTAGGTCCCTATCACAGAATGCAACGACTTCCTATGGGAAAACCAGGCAGCAGGAGGACTCTTGGACACAGGAGATCAACACTTTTCTCTCTCTAATAATTGAAAGATCCTCCAAACCCTGCACACTAGGAATGAAGATGTCCTCTTTGATGGCAGACTCAGAGTTATTAGAGGAAGTGTCCTTACTTAGGGAGAGCAGAGTCCAGGCATTCTGTAGCATGACCTCTTTGTACAACCTCCTCCAGGAAGCTCCACTTCTCCTGGGTGAAGTCGACAGCCACGTCCTTGAATGTCATTGTCTCCTAGATCATCAAAAGTCATAGCACATAGAGCTGAAAGACACTTGAGAGTTAAATAGTCCAATCCTCATCAATTTGCAGGAGGAAACTTGAAGCCCAGAGAAGGGATTTGCCCAAAGGTCATATCTTTATGAGTGTCAGAGTCAACTCTTAAAATCACAGTCATTAAGAATTCAATGGAATTTTGAGGAAAACATTTTATATGGTCAGTTGGAAAAAAAGCTAAGAAATGTCTTATTATGAAATGTGTCTCCCTGTGGAATCAGGGAGAAAGTTTGTGTTCTATCTGTGAGGTAGGTGGATCTGTGGAGGAGAAAGAGAGAAGGAGAAATGTATTTCTTCTAAGAACTGATAAATGTGATACATTGTAAGGAAAATTCTGTGAAGTCCTTGTGAGAAGCTGGCAAGTATAGTGTATTTGGGGTGGGGGAGGGAGTTTTATGTGATCACTTAAAAGAGAACAAAGTTAAAGAAAAGATCTAGTTTGTTTCCTGAGAGGCTGGAATTCAATCTTATCTGGATAGAAACATGAAGAGGATTCTAGAAAGATATTCATCAGAATATGGACTGCACTGAGTGGTATGAGATGGTTTCCAGCCAAGTGAAGAAGACTTATTTGTTGTTACATTGCAGGCTTGAGGTCACTCTAGTATGATGTTGCCATAGCCAAAACAAATTATGCCTTTGTTTATGATTGCTTTCATTTGTATATGGCATATTTTCCTTAATTATAATATTTCATTACAGAGAAACAAGAGTAACTAGGATAAAGAAAGGAGGCTTCATTCTTTGATTTAAAAAAAAAACCCACTAAGGGGAGACAGAGCCAAGATGGTGGAGTGAAGGCAGGGACTTGCCAAAGCTCTCTCCAAAACTCCTCCAAATACCTTAAAAATGACTTTAAACAAATTCTAGAGCAGTAGAACCCACAAAAAGAGCAAAACAGATTTCCAGCCCAAGACAACTTGGAAGGTTGGCAGGAAAGCTCTGTTGCACTAAGGTCAGAGAGGAGCACAGTTCAGCACAGGCCAGGCCAGCACAAACTGGGCCCCAGCAAAGCCAGAGCAGTCCTCGGGGTGACTGAATCACTCGCAGCAGTGGCAGTTTCCAGACCACTCAGTCCACAGATGCCAAAGACAACTTAGAAAGTCAGCAGGAAAGGTCCATTGCATCTGGGTTAGAGAGGAGTACAGTCTAGCCCTAGCCCCAGCACAGCTCTGGCCCCAGCAAACCAGGAGCAGGCCTTTGGAGAGACTGAATCAGCAGTGGCAGCAGCCGTAGTTGCTTCTGGAGCTCTCAGCCTACAGATGGTAAGGGAGTTGAAAAACTGGTCAGAAGGATGTGTGGGACAGAGACCACCCACTCAAAATAAAAACAAAGACTTAGATACCTTGAAAGCAGAAAAAGAGTTTATTGCTTTTTCATGAGAAAGGGTACTGCCCCTAGTCACCATTGCTGGCCCGGAGAGTACGAGTTGGGAGCCACACCCTTGGCTTTTTATCCCTTAACACGATGCCCCCTCCCACTCTCTTACCCCTTTCTCCTTTGACTGGGTACTCAGGGAGTACATTCTAAATGTGGCAGATGATACCCATGTCCATGTTTGGACTATATGTGTATATGTACTAGGAAGTAGGAGTGATCAGGCACTGAGCTCCCTCACCCATGCTGGAGAAATAGAAGCTTATCGGGGAAAATGGAAACTTAACTCAAGGCTTTCTGGAGGAACGAAACCTAGGCCTGTGGGAACTGTACTGCAGGCCATCTCTCACACTCAGGCAGGTTGCAGAGGAGAGACAAGAGCATAGCAGGGAGGTAAGAATGTAGTAGGAAGATACTAACAAGGGAACTTCACTGTGAGCCATCCCTCACAAGGAGATTACAAAAGTCTTTTTGTTAGTACTGAGGCAGGACTCTGTTGCTTTCCCCATCTCAGATCTGGGTCCTGAGTGGTAGTCCTGGGGTGAGGAGGAGCACTAGCACAGCAGAGGGGGAGCCCTCCTTATAATTCCAGAAGGTAGTGCTTGTGGTCACTTACAGACCAGAGCACAGGCCAGGAGAGTAGTAAACACCTCTGCTTAGATCATACCACCTTAGAAGAACTGGAAACTTACAGGGCCTTAGAAGTATCCCTGAAAACAGCTATACAACCCCCCCTGAAACTTGGGACAGTGTGCCTTCCGTTCTGGAAGCAGAGCCCGACTTCAACAAAGACTTAAAAGTCAAACAATAATTGTATTGAATTCCTATTATTATTCCTAATATTGAAATCCTATTGTATAGGTTTCATTTTTCCCCAGTTGACATAATGTTGACAAAAGTCCTTTTCATTATTCTGAAGACATTCTGTTTGTGAGAACATCCTGGTGGCTTCTTTCACATAATCCTGCAGATCATGAGTAATTCTATTGCCTCCTTCAGCTTTGCCACTTGGTGAGTCAGTATGAATTATTTTCCCTTAATTCACCATTCTGTAAGACACAAAATTTAACCTTTCACCAGTGACCTCCATCTTCTGGAGAGAAGCATGTCCCCTTGGAGCACATTCATAAGTCTTTTTTCCAAGACGAATCCTCTGATGTAAAGTCAGAGCTGATCTCTGGCTGAAGGCCTTCTCACATTGAGGCCATAAATGGCTTATACCCAGAGTGAATTTCCTACTATCTCAGAAACTCTGTACTCCATTTTAATGCTTTTCTGCATTCATGTCAGTGGTAAGAATTCTATCTCCTTTGAATTCTCTGATGGGAAATAAGGACTTTTGCTGAAGGCTTTACTACATTAATTACATTCATAAGTTTTCTCACTAGTATGGATTCTCAGATGTTTAATAAGATGGGAACTGTTTCTAAAAGCCTTTCCACACTGATTACATTCATGAGTTTTTTCTCCAGTGTGGATTCTCTGATGTACAATAAGATTGCCACTCCATGTGAAAACCTTTCCACACTGCATACATTCATGAGATTTCCCTCCATTGTGGATTCTCTGATGCTTAGCAAGAGTGGAGCTCTCTCTGAAAGCCTTTCCACATTGATGACATTCATAAAGTTTCTCTCCAGTGCGCATTCGCTGGTATACAATAAGACTGCCACTCCATGTAAAAATTTTCCCCCACTGAATACATTCAAGTAGTTTCTTCCTACTGTAGATTCTCTGATGTTCAGCAAAGCTGATTCTGTATTTGAAAGCCTTTCCGCATTGATTATATTTGTAAGGTTTCTTTCCAGTATGGATTTTGTCATGTAAAATAAGATGCTCCATCCATGTAAAAGCCTTTCCACATTGATTACATTCATAAGGCTTCTTTCCAGAATAGATTCTCTGATGTGTAGTACAGAATTTACAAATGACGTCACAGAGACCAGCACTCATGAATCTTTGCTTGTGAGTTTCTTCTGCAGTAGTCTCTTTCATTTCAAGTGTGATTTCTCCTTCTGAAAAAAAAACAAACAATAAAACCAATATACACAGACACACACACACACCCTTCCCTCCATTGGTGGAACATGAACTCATTTACTTTCTATTTCCCTAGGCAAAGAAAAAAATCTTCAAACATAAATGGGCAAAACCACTCATTTTAATATGCCATTAGCTCACATCTGAAAGATGATTTAATTTACAAAGAGCTTCACATAGAATCACACTGCATCCTCACAACAAACCTCTGACAAAGGCAGGGCTGGCATTGTCGTCATATTCAAGACTCAGGCCTTGAGCTCAGAATGTCTGAATGAATTGACCCAAAGACCAACAGCTGAGGCCAGCACGCAAACTCTTTGACTGGGCACGCTCTGTCCACAGGACTAGACAGATTGTTTCCACTTCCAATGTTTCCTTTCCCTTTTTACTTTCATTGTCTGTACTTTCTTTCCTTTTTTCATAGATATCATGCCATTTGGCACACATATACTAAATATTCAAATTCTTCCATGCTCTATCCTACCTGTAAAGTGATGTAATTTGCCTGGTGATCACTTTCAATCTGATTTTTCCTGTTGCAGTATCAGAGGGCACATGAAGAATACCAGCACTGTATTTTGTACTTACTACTTTTGGGGATAATGCAGTGAGTACATCAGACCCTCACTGCTTCTAAGTACAACATATTCTTTCAATTTTTCAACTTGAGATCTATGTGCAAATGGTGACAGGTATGCACAGCCCCACGCTGGCTGGCTGCCAATGCACCAGAGTAGTTCTCTCATTCCTGGGTTACTTCATCAAACCTGTAATCACCAGAAGAAGACATCACTTGTGTTTGCATTCCTGCAGCAGAGGTAACAAGCTCTTCGAAAACCATGATCGCTAGGTAAGCATAGGAGAGGGCATCATGGCATCATCATGGACCACCACAACCATTCTGCAGATGCAGACCTTAAATGGTCACTTATTCCCCAGTTAAGGTTTTCTAATGTGGACCTCTTTTCTCCCTAAGGCCAGTTGATGGGATTGTAGCCTCAGGTGAATGGCAGAGATTTGGCCATGTGGAAAAGACCCCTTTTTGGAGTCCAGATCTCATCCTCATCATTCCCCCCTCAAACAAATGGGACCCAAATTCTTTTGGGGTAAGGGGCGAAGGTCTTGGCTTCTGAAACTGCTTTCTGCTGGTAAGGGGCTTAGAGCTGTCCCTGGCTTGAGGAGGTCCCAAAGAGGAGGTTGACTGGAACTGATCACAGGCTGCATCCAAGGGACGATGGGGGGACATTGTCTGGTACTCACTGTTTGCTCCCAACTGTAGGTGAATGGCCTGTAGTCTGGAAGACACAAACTTGACAGAAAAGACTGCAGGGCCCAAATGACAGGATAAAACATCCTTAGCTCTGTTTGGATTTAGATAATTCAGTTTTCCAACCATGCTGACTTCTGATGCTGACTTCCCACCAGTATCACATTCTCTCTGAGTAGCTTGTGGTATTTCTCAGATGTGGATATTGATTTATTGATGGATTATTATGATCCATTAGAGAACTCAAAATAAAATCCCACATGCTTTTTTACCTCAAACAGCAAGTTTCACTAATCAAGTTTAGGAAAAACTTTTCCATGATCTGCATCTCAAATTTAAATTTGTCCTGGTGTAAAAAGCAACTCATTAGAAATTATTTCTACATACTTGTAAATTCTCAGCAAGACAAAACCCAAACGAGCTTTTTGGCAAGTTTAGACATTAAAACAATAACCAACAATAGCCAAATTATTTTAGTGGTAACCAAATTATGAAAATTGCTTGACATAACTGATCCAAAATTTCACCAATTTGAAACTTGAAATAAACACATTACCAATCAGGTGACTTCAGTTTTGTTAAATGCATTTCCAAATTACTTTACACAGAGAATCAACATCTCATCATTAACAGTTAAAAAAACAGTTTTAAAAGAGTGTGCTTACCCAAGTTCGGAGGCTAGCTTCTTTAACTTGAGCAGGATGCGCCGAACCTGGATGATGCTTCCAGGCAAAGGTTGCCCCAGGACCCAAAGCCATTGCCAGTGGGGCCCATGCTGTAGCTGCTGCCGCTTCCCCCTCCTTCCTTTTGCCATGTGAGGGAGGGTGAATTCGAAGGTGAGGGGGAGAAAGGTGAAACTTTCTTCTCCTATGATAAGGGTTAATGGATGCCCTCTTGACTCAAGGGAAGGGAGTGGGAGAAAGAAGTGATTAGGGTTGTAAGGAGGAATTTCAAAACTCCTTAATGATCAATCACAAAACCTCCAGAATCTGCTAAGATATTTTTAGCTGTTCTAACTTTTCCCTGTAACCTCCATGAAGGAGGATTCAGGGGTGTAGAGGGAAGGGATCAAGTAAACCTCAGGGAACCAAAAAGCACCTGCAGTTTTCCCAGTTCCCTAGTGATGAGAGAATTGACAGAATTGAGCATATGCTTCCAGACAGGGCATCTGTCCTTGTCCTTTATGCTGTGGAAGGTGCTTCCAGGTCCATGGCTTTGAACCGACCCAATGGACTGAGAGCCTGAGAGCATCAGGCTGACTGTGAGACAGCCTCATAACTGTCTGCCCTAAAAGCACCTCCAAGCCTTCTGAGGTGCTTGGAGAGTAACCTCAGCTGCAGAGCAAGAAAGAAGGGAGGAGGCTTACATATCTTTCAGTATTGGCTGGAGAAGAAGTTGGGGTTAGGTAGTTTTTCCCATATGGGACACCAAAATGTTGAGATTTAGGGGTTTAGGGGTTCTGGGACCCCAAAATCACAACACATGGGCCCTGCCTGAAAGAATTTGACCCAAGCCTTTTTTCAGCCAAAGACAAGGTTTATTAGCACATCCACCATATCGGCCAGACTCTTAAGGAATCTGAATACTTGTGAGCTATTGGCTAGATTTTAAGAATCTAAGCCCTATGCTTAGATTATTATGCCGTTATTATCCTCCCTCCATTTATTCCCTCATCTCCAGCTGAAATGAGTGTATTTACATTCCAAAATGTTCTTTTCCAGTAGATCAGCCAAGAGTGAGGTGGATGATGTGTTGCTCCTTACCAAACAGACTCATCTTCCTGCTTTCCTTTTTTTTTTTTCTTTGTTAACTGTCTTTATTTCAAACATTTTAGGAGAAAAGAAATCTTTGTGTAACTGAAGAGAACAGCAAATATCCTTGCAACATACTCCCTGCCTGGCATCTGCCCAACCTGCAAGGATTTGGAAGATATACACAATATATGGAGAAAAGGCAATATACCTGTACTCACACCATGCCTAAGTAGAGACTGATCATAGATGGACCAAGGAAGAAAGATATCTAGTGTACGGAAGGGAATGTAGCAAGTCTGAATCAAATTTGTGGTAGCCAGTCAAAGCAGGTCTTCTGATGGTCATGTCATGGTCACAGCTGCGGGTTGGATAGAGCTTCCAAGAAACTGCATTCAGATCACAGAAGGCAGTATTAGAAATGAAGTCACTACTAACATCAGCTGTGCTACAGGCCTAGCTGGGGTGCCATCAAGTCAATGTCACTCAGGTTCCTAGCGAACCAGACACCAGCAGCAAATGTAATGCAGAACATTATTTTACCATTTAGGTAGTAGAACCCTTTAGGCCATGGAAAACTCCAAATTCCTTAGCAAGACCCTTATCTGGCTGCTCAGGCTCCAGCCCTCAGATCATATCTCTGGAAGCCTCCATTGTGAGAAAGTTTGCACAGCATTATCATATCTACATAGAGGGAGAAGGGTGTCCTTGACCAGCCCCCCAAAAAACCTCTTCCTCTTGCCAGACTTCAAAGATCCATCCCCCTCCCTGTCCTGTATACTCCCTATACAAACCCTAGCTCAACCCCTGATGGCTGCTGCTTGATTTGGATGTGAATATCCCTGGCAGCCGCGCACTAAGAAAGTCCACAATTTAAAATTAGCTTGGGTCGTCAACTCGCTCATTTCTCGGTATAACATTTTGGAGGCCCCAGCGAGATAGCAGCGTACCGTGTCGCTGCAGAGACCCACCTGGAGAGGACATCGGCCTCGGGAGGGGGAATTGTTCTGTTCTGACTTCTAGGGGAGCCGGCCCCTGATGATGTTCCAGGGCCCCAGGACTCAGGACTAGGAGAAGCCTCCCTCCCCGACTCCGACTGTACCTCATTTCGGCCCTCGTGGACCTGGTAACCCTCTGGAGGTAAATGTTTGCAAACCTGTTTTCTGGGGGAACGAGTGCCAGACGTGGCAGAGCACCTAATTAGTGCCTCAATCCCCCAGGCACCCCGAGACGTCGGGACTATGCCTGTATCTGGTTCCTGGTACCCGGTTTCTGGTTCCTGGTTTCTGTCTTAGTTCTGTTGGGCCCGTGTCTCGTTCCTGGTTTCTGTCTCAGTGTTGGTCTATTAGTTTATATGTGTAGAGATTGTGTTTTTAAGAGATTCTGTTTTGCAATCATCTGCCTGAAGCCACCTCTGTTTCATACTGAAAGACAGGTGTCAGACTGGATTGCAGACAGTTTTCTCCAGGGCAGTTCCTTTGACTTCATTGGGAGGATGTGTTGTGTTCAGGCTCTTATTGTTTGTCTGTGTCTGTGTTCTGCAATAATGGGGGGATACGGCCAGTACATCATTTCCCTCCCTTTTGGGTTGTTTGCAGCCAGACAGCCAAAGGCTGCAGCAGGACTCTGAAAAGTTGCCTTCATTCTCCCCCTCTCCCTCCCCAGGTAACAGCAGCTTCAAAGCAGTGCGTGGATGGGAGAGGGAAAGAGAGAAGAATACTTTATTATTTAGGTTATATGGTTGGTAGAGGGCAAGTTGGGAAGGATTTTTGAAGTGTCAGGTCAGAATTAGAAAGGAATGAGATATGTACAGGTTTTAAGGGGATTTTAAATCATTAGAAAGAAAGGCAAGGAAGTTTAAGCATGTAGGAGAGAGGAGTGTGTGTAGAAAATTTGAAGGGAATATGATTTAGTTGCATGGTGTGACTGGAGGTTTTGAAAGTGAGAAGGTTTTGGGACTTTTGCATGAGTAATAGTTTCTCTCTCTCTCTGCATTCTAACTCTGGCCAAGTTTGAGTGTGGAGACAAAGAGAAAAGTTCTTGTGTACCAGAACACAGACAAATGGTTTATATGCTGAGGACTATGGCTTGCTGGGTTTAGTTGATATTTTCCCACGAGCCCCAGCTCATCCAAATTGGTAAATATGTGAGGTTTTCAATTTCAGCATTTGTTACACTGTTTTGCACTTAGGTACATTGAAGGAAACTCAGACGAGTGGATTGTTTTGAGTGCACAGTGAGGGCAGTTTGAGGAGAGATGGAGGGAATTATGTCCACCCACCTTTCAGGCTAGATCCCCGGGTGGGTTCTTTTAAAGACTTGTCATTATGGGAAAGAAAAAGCAATCAGAATACTGGTCCAGTACATTTCTAAGCTTAACAAGGGTATTGCATTTGGGGATATATTTTTGTCTACCCCTCCAAAAACTAAATAAATAAATAGGGGAGAATGAATGGGTTAGAATAAGCTTCCAAATTTTATTGCTTTTAAGAGGAAGTTTCACCTATAATTCTTATCAAATCTGTGTAAACGTTTTCTGTGTTGTGAAATTCCTGAGTAAATGAGAATTCTTGAGATAAAAATTGAGTAAATTTTTAAAGGTTTGATAATATTTGTTATTGTGGTAATGTTCTTATTATAAAAACTGAATTTTTTTCTGTTTTTGACTAAGGAAATTTGATGTCTAGGAATTCTGTAACAACTAGGAATTTAGTTTGTTATGGTACTTTGGGAAGTTATTTATGTTACTTGAGGACATTTTACATCAACTTAGTTTTAATGAATTCCATTTTTAAAGGTTTATTTTTACTTTAAGGTAGAAAGGAAAGATATCTATCACCTTAAAAATTTCTAACAAATGTTCTTCATGAAAGTTTAGTGATTATTCCTTCTAACATCAGGATAAACTGTAAGCTTTTTTAGAAAGGGAAATACTTTTTACAAAGTAATGTTTTGCAAAATCTTTTTGTATGATTTTTAGAAGGCCTACTAAATTTCCATTTGCAAGCT